GCCTCACGAAGTCCAGCCCCCTCATTGCCTCTCCCCTGGCCACTGCTTGACTACCGGACTTGTCTCCCCATGGAAGAGTGTAAGCTTCATGAGGACAGGCACCCTCTTCACACAGTGTTTAGTACACAGTAAATGAATAATAAATGCTCCTCCAGTCACTGCAAACTCTACCGTGCTCTTCTCACTTTGGATCAGCAGGCTCCTCGTGCCCGGCGTGTGTGTGTGTGTGTGTGTGTGTGCGTGTGTGCGTGCACGCGCACGTGCACTCAGTGCTTAAATGCAGATTTTGTCCTGATTCTGATTCACTACCAGGGTGGCTAAGCACCTGACCCCGGGTCCTGCCCCAGACAAATGGATTTGTCCCCACTACACAGAGGAGAAAACAGGTTGAACAGGGGGTGGTGCTGGTGAGCCAGAGGGGCAGGGAGGCCTAGAACCCCAGAACCTTCCCTCTACTCACTCTCAGTCAATGTGACTCATTTATTAAGCGCCAACTGTGTGCACAGCACATGCTAGGGGAGAAGCAAGGTCTAGACAAAACATGGTCCTGGTCTATGCCTTCAGCTCATGGTTTAAGAGTGGATAAGAGGGGGGCAGCTACGTGGCGCAGTGGATAGAGTACCGGCCGTAGATTCAGGAGGATCTGAGTTCAAATCCGGCCTCAGACACATAACACTTACTAGCTGTGTGACCCTGGGCAAGTCATTTAACCCCATTGCCTAGAACCAAAAAAAAAAAGAGTGGATAAGAGGGGGCAGCTAGGTGGTGCAGTAGATAGAACTCTGGCTTTGGAGTCAGGAGGACCTGAGTTCAAATCAGCCTCAGACACTTGATACTTACTAGCTGTGTGACCCTGGGTAAGTCACTTAACCCTGATTGCCTCACAAAAAGCAAAAAAAAAAGAGTGGACAAGACACCCACACCCCATGTTTCAGCCAGACTGTTCCCATCTCAGGGGGTGACGCAGAGCAGGGAGGGAGGGAAAGCCAGGAGGCTACCTGTTAAAATCCGATGCAGGGGCAATGTGACGTAGGTTAAGTGTGCATAGAGGAGAAAATTTCCATCGGCCCGGTTTAGTTTGAGCCACGACCCAACAAGCGACCGCCCTGTCCCAGACAGAGACCTCGACCGTAAATTGGTGGTGTTGTGAAGATCTGCTAAAGGAAGAGAGAACGTGGGCTGTCAGATCTGGGAGGGGCCTGGAGACAGGGGATGGCAGGGCTGGGAGGGCAGTTTAGTTCATTTCCCCATAGCAAACAAGACCAAGAGGGCCGCTGAGTGATTCGCCTGAGGACCACAAGTAGCAGGCGTGAGAAGCAGGACCTGAACTCGTCCCCAGAGTCAGCATTCCCTCCATCTTCCCTGTGACGCCCTCGTTTCACGGGTGAGGAAGCTGGGTCTCTAGAAGGCTGGGCCCCTGACTACCCGCCTCCAACGGATAGAGCCGGGCACGCCGGCCACCGAGCCCGCCGCCCTCCCCCATCGTGGCCAATGGGCGCCTGGGCCTCACCCTCGCCGGCGTCATCCCGGAAGAACTCCTCACTGTCATTGGCTGAGTGGGACTTCTTCATCTCCGCGATCCGGGTCCGGGGCACTTTCCGCTTGAGGGAAGGGGAGAAGAAGGCCGGCCGGTTGTTGCGCTCTGGGGTTGGCGGTGTGCTGAAGGAAGTCACCTGGGGAAACGGCAGCTAGCGTCACTCCCCGGTGCACCCGTGGCCACAGGAGGTCCAGAGGGGGCCGTGCCCCTCGTAATCCCCGATCCCCACCCCCAACCTCCCCCGAGTCTCAGCTTTCTCATCTGTAAAATGGGGCAGCCTCACAAACTCTCGACGGAGTTAACATTCTGTGATTCCAGGGCCAGAGGCTGGCTCTGAGAGCGTCTGGCCCTTGCCGCTGGCGCAGGGTCTGGGATCCCCCAGGCTGCCCCACGTGGATGTGACTGGTGAGCATACCTGCACATACACGTGCACACACTGGCATGTCTAGCAGAGACAGCTACTCTGAGAGACAGGGCAGTGTGACGGTCACAAGACCAGTGTCCGCCCTGACACACTCCAGCTGTGTGACCCTGGACAAGTCACTGCACCCCTCGGTGCTTCGCGTCCCAAACAGAAGCTGGGCTGCCTTGGTGGAGGGATTTTCCTCACCCGGAGTTCTCTGGCCCAATGCCTTTGCAGTCCGGACCACAAATGCAACAGAAAACCTCGCCTCTTGCCGCCGCCGCACTGGCTATCACGGAGGGCAAAGACAGCCCAGAGCTGCCCAAGTGCCCCCCACCCAGGGGCCGGGCCCACATTCACTAGAGGACAGACCCTCCCCCCACCCCGACCCTCATACACTGTCCCAGAGAGAGCTTGGACACCGACTGTCCCCATCACCCTTCCCTGGCCCCATCCTTCAAGGCCCAGCCCAGGGACCACCCCCTCCAGGAAGCACTCCCTGACCTGTGCCCCCAGCACCCTTACTCTCTCGTGCATGGGTGAGGCTGGGTTGGAGTCTTCCTCAGTGCCGTATGGGGACGTGTCACCAGTGGAAACGCGGCTGACCGCCATCTCGGCGTGTCCCTTCCCCTGTGGCCCCTTCATTCGCACAAACTCCATGTTGTTGTACTTGTAGAAGCCAAAAGACATCCGCTGGGCCATCTTAGCCGCCACGCTCACCTGCCAGGTAGGACACAGCAGCTGTCAACCGGAGAGCCCTCCAGGCACGGACGAGGCCGTCCTAAGGAGCCCAGCCCCCTCTTGAGAGGAGACATTTAATTCTACTACAAATTATATAAGTAAAGCTCATGTGTAAAAGGAAAGGTCAGAGGTGGGAGGGGCCTGAGAACA